GCAGTTGATGGTTCTGAACGCAGCAGTTGATGATTTTGAACGCAGCAGTTGATGATTTTGAACGCAGCAGTTGATGGTCCTGAACGCAGCAGTTGATGATTTTGAACTCAGCAGTTGATGGTCCTGAACGCAGCAGATGATGGTTTTGAATGCATCAGTTGATGGTCCTGAATGCAGCAGTTGATGGTTTTGAACGCAGCAGTTGAATGTCCTGAACGTAGCAGTTGATGGTCCTGAACGTAGCAGTTGATGTTTTTGAAAGCAGTAGTTGATGGTTTTGAACGCAGCAATTGATGGTTTTGAAAGCAGCAATTGATGGTTTTGAACGCAGCAGTTGATGGTTCTAAAAGCTACAGTTGATGTGTTTTGAAAACAGCAGTTGATGGTTTTGAACATAGCAGTTGATGGTTTTGAACGTAGCACTTGATGGTTTTGAACGCAATAGTTGATGATTTTGAACGCAGCACTTGATGGTTTTGAACACAGCAGTTGATGGTTTTGAACACAGCAGTTGATGGTCCTGAACGCAGCAGATGATGGTTTTGAACGTAGCAGTTGATGGTTTTGAACACAGCAGTTGATGGTCCTGAACGTAGCAGTTGATTGTGCTGATTGTAGCAGTTGATGGTTTTGAACGCAGTAGTTGATGATTTTGAACGCAGTAGTTGATGATTTTGAACGCAGTAGTTGATGATTTTGAACGCAGCACTTGATGATTTTGAACGCAGCACTTGATGGTTTTGAACACAGCACTTGGTGATTTTGAACGCAGCAGTTGATTTTCCTGAACGCAGCAGTTTATGGTCCTGAACGCAACAGTTGATGGTCCTGAATGCAGCAGTTGATGGTTTTGAACACAGCAGTTGATGGTCCTGAACGTAGCAGTTGATTGTGCTGATTGTAGCAGTGGATTGTGCTGATTGTAGCAGTTGATGGTTTTGAACGCAGCAGTTGATGGTTTTGAACACATCAGTCGCAGCAGTTGATGGTTCTGAACGCAGCAGTTGATGGTCCTGAACGCAGCAGTTGATGATTTTGAACGCAGCAGTTGATGGTCCTGAATGCAGCAGATGATGGTTTTGAATGCATCAGTTGATGGTCCTGAATGCAGCAGTTGATGGTTTTGAACGCAGCAGTTGAATGTCCTGAACGTAGCAGTTGATGGTCCTGAATGTAGCAGATGATGGTTTTGAATGCATCAGTTGATGGTCCTGAATGCAGCACGTGATTGACCTGAACGCAGCAGTTGATGGTTTTAAATGCAGTAGTTGATGGTTTTGAACGCAGCAATTGATGGTTTTGAACGCAGCAGTTGATGGTTCTAAAAGCTACAGTTGATGGTTTTGAAAACAGCAGTTGATAGTTTTGAACGTAGCAGTTGATGGTTTTGAACGTAGCAGTTGATGGTTTTGAACGTAGCAGTTGATTGTTTTGAACGCAGTAGTTGATGATTTTGAACGCAGCACTTGATGGTTTTGAACACAGCACTTGATGATTTGAACGCAGCACTTGATGGTTTTGAACACAGCAGTTGATGATTTTGAACGCAGCACTTGATGGTTTTGAAAGCTGCAGGTGATAATTTTGAAAGCAGCAGGTGATGGTCCTAAACGCATTAGTTGATGGTTTTGAACGCAGCAGTTGATGGTTTTGAAAGCTGCAGTTGATGATTTTGAAAGCAGCATTTGATGGTTCTTAAAGCTGCAGCCCATGGTTCTGACAGACAGGCAGCCTGCTCTGTCCCAGCCCTCCCAGTGAGCATCAGCGTGTGGCTCCAGTCACAGTCAGGAACAATCACCTCTCTGTTCCCCATGGAACAATCTGGTTGTTGTGCTCTGCTTCCCTCTCTGTCCTTTCCTCCACGCTGAATTTCTAGATCGCTCTTCAGACCAGTTCAGGGCTCCAGATATCCAAGTGTACATCCAGCATTGTTGTAGTCAAGACCACAGCAACCGGGACCAAGCGGTACCAAGAAGAGGTAGAAACCAAGACAAGATCAAGACCATATCAGGTCTTGGTTTTTGTTGTCTTGACTACAACTATAGCAGCCAGGAACTGGAATTTGTTTGTTTGCATTCAACTAGCTGAAGACCTAGAACCTCAATTTTAAGGAAAGCTGCTTTACCACCAGTTGTCTGGTTTTTAAGACTTTCAAATAGGGTTTGATTTGATGCAAACATAAACCTGAGGTGAAGAGAAAAAAACCCAGACAAACTCTCAATCGTTTATTGTCTCAATGATTTGATCATTCTTGTATAGAAATGTTGCAGTGGTTCACTGATTGCATTTTTTGTTTGTGATGCCATCCCAGTCAGAGTAACATCTAAGTGGGCGGGGTCATAAGAACACCTAAACATCCCCCAAAGATGGAGTCAAAGTAACAACCTTTCTGAAACCAGACATCATATTTTGGGTCAGACAACAGTCAGGACTTGTTGAGGAATCTCTGTGAATCTCCATGCTGATAAAGCAGTAGTTCTGATCCTGATTAAATCAGTCAGATCAGATCAGGGACTCTGCAGGTTTCAGTGTGAGGGTGGATGAAGACGTCTCCGTGGTGACAGTGTGGAGGACGTCCTGACGGGCTCTGTTTCCTCTGCGGCAGCTGTATCCTGTGTTTTGTTCTGCTGCTGATTTACAGCGCTGATCTTAACAACGGCTCTCAGATAAGGGAGGAGTTGGAGAGAACAGAAGGAATGAACGGAATGCCTCTCCTTTATTCTGAGACCTGGACACAAGCTACGGTTCCTGTCACTGAGAGCCAACAAGATAAAGCTCTGTAGCCATCTTCATCTCCTGGAGCAGGGAACATGGGCTGGAAGGTTTCATCATGGATATTCTGTCCCTCATTCTGTCCTAATTCCTCTGGTATTGGACTGCAGAGCTGCTGCTGTGTTCAATTACATATGAAAACAAAGATAACTTTATTAAGAACATTGTTATATCCACGTCTGTAAGTCACTTTAGATAAAAACATTTACCAAATGGTATCAACACAAATATAAATAAATAAACAGAATTGAAATCAGTTAAAAAATGTATAAACATGGTTCTGTTTGAAAAAGTATTCCACCCTAAACCCAGTAAGTGGTTTGTTCCTCTCTTTGCAGCAGTAAATCATAACTGGTATAAAGTATTTAACAACGCTGTGGAGGAACTTTGATTGATTTATTCACAGCTGCTACATCTAAAGCATGTTTACGTCCAGACTTTGACTAGGCCGCCACAAAACGAGGCGTAGCGAGGTGATATAGAGACTGTCACTCCTCCACCACTGTGTTTGACTCAATGTCATCTTGTCAGGCAGAATATTTTCCTCAAAATATTAGGGATCATCGGTTGGTATTTGCTTAACGCTCTAAAGGTAGAAATTCGCCTTCATGACAACATGTTTTGGCTGTACATCCTCCCTTTTTATATAAAGCTTTGTAATAATAACAGTAATGACCTCTGACCTTAGGAAAACAGCTGTTCTGAGGATAATGGCTCCCAGATGCTGTTCTACTTGGGGCAGCCCAGGTTGGAGTGGTTATTTATCTAATTTTTTCCAATGTAAAGAATCGGTTTGTTGAATCGTAACATCTAGGATCTCCTGATTGATGATCCACATAGCATCTTACAACATTGCAGAGTATAATACTACAGATGCATCAGAAGAGGTTATTGTGATTAACAGGCAGTTTCTAGTTGGTGATTGAATTCAGGACTTGAAAGTCCTACGTAGAAGTCGTTCAAAAATCTGGCTCAGGACGGCATCATCAACAGTAATATCCAAACCCCGATAGATAAGTATTTCTGGGTTCAGATAGCCACAACCCAGGTGGAACGAACAAAGCTTGGTTATGTGGAATTTTGGAAACATCGAGACAGAAAAGCTGCAGCTTTCCTTCATTGCATATTTGATTTTCTATCTAGGAGCTGCTCAAAATGAAAGGTGGAGAGATTGGATGAAAGAGAAGGTCTGAGAAGGTCAGTTTCAGGAACGCTCTCCTCTGTAAACAGCTTCTAAGTCGACAGTAATGGTACCAGAAAAGAACAACATGTGGAGAAACTGAACTGACTGAGTTAATGCCTTATCCTGATGGTTTATCAATAGCTAGTAAGGAGGTGAGGTAAATGTTCTAGAAAGAGTCCTGTTGCATCATCATTTAACCAGTAGGACCAGCTTCCTCCCTGGATTCTGAGCAGGACTGTCCGGACCTAGATAAGCTGCTCAAAAAAATGCTCCAATGAGGCTAATGAATGTCAGCTTCGCCTTTCTTCAGGATCTCTGAACATGTTCTAGAAACTGCTAGGAATGACATTAGGGAGACTAAAGAAAATGCCTTTATTTTGTAGCCTATAATGAAGAATCATTATTGCTTTATGTAACCGTGATTACATTTTGCTAAAGGCAGTGGCCAAAAATGTACATGTAATACGCAGACATAAATTAAAAACACTGAAGAGACTTCTCAAAGGGTTTAAAACAGTGAACACAAGAGGCAAAGATAAAGTGACTTGTCCTGCTATCTTGGATATATTTGTTTGTATTTAAGGCCCTTATTCTGTATTTCAGGCCTTTTCTCTAAATTCTGTCTCTGGCTCTCAATATGAATGTTGGACCCTAAGCCTTTAAGTCTTATTTAATTTAGGTCTTTATTTTCGGTCCTTGGTGCTAACTTTGACCTTACCCAGTATTTTGTTGCCATCAGCTCTGAGTTTCAGCCATCTGTTAGTCCCTCAGTTTGTTGTTTAGGCCCCTGGTCTGTATTTGAGGCTAAGTTTGGCCGTTACTCTGTATTTTGGGCTCTTAGACTGTATTTTGGACTCTTGGTGTGTATGTCAGGCCCTCATTCCTGATCCGATCCCTCCCAGTAGTCCCTCTCCAAGCTGCGTGTGTAAACTGGAAGTCGGATGGGAGTGCCATATCCTCCTGCTGTGTTTCCTCGCCTCACTCTTTATCTGCGGCTCTCACCGACTTCCTGCCGAGGTTCTTGAACGTTCCTGCTGACCGGTCACTTTCTCTCCTCCTGCATTAAACCCTCAGGACGGACTCGGCCAGACACTCAGAGTAGAGGTTCTGTTTTCCTGCTTGGACTGAGGAAGGGGTTGACTCAGCTTGTCCGGTGAGCATCTCTGACTAACAGAGAATGAAGCTGCAGCAGACTTCCTCTGCTCCTCTTTTAGACCAGACTTCCTGTCCTCCATGGATCTCAGGGGTTCTTGTTTGGTTCTGCAGGCCCAGACAGGTCAGATGTTGTGGCCCAGTGAGATTCAGAGGAAGCATTCAGGTTCTAAACAAATTCCTTACAGTAGATTTTGTTGTCCCTTCGGCGATAAATCCCATCTCTTGAATGTTCTGTGTGCTTCTTGTGTGCACCTGTGTAGGTGAGTTCATGCGGAACCCGCAGGTGTAGAACCTACCTAAAACACTGCAGCTCTGCCAAGGTTCTGGCTGATCCGGGATAAGAGCAGGAGTCTTTTTTTGTATGCAGCAGCTGCAGTCTGGAGGAAAAGGTTGAGGGGAGGAAGCTGCTGTGACTCACTTCCTCCTTGGCCTTTATTCTTCCCGCTGGACACTGCCGACCTCTGTGGTGGATATTTTGGTTCTCATTGTTCTGACGTCTGTTCACTTTCGTTCTGTAACTCCTCTCCCGCTGTTCTAGAACTTCAGAGTTCTTCTCTTTACTACTGAGAAGCTTCCATGGTTCAGCTGGAATGAGACGCAGGAAGAACAGGAGGTTCTGATGGAGAGAGACCGTCAGCCTTAGGATCGAGGGCTTTTTTTGAGGCATGGAGAAGGCATCATCTGCAGGTCAGACTCATACGAGAGGATGATTTTTATGAAGGAAGAACAGTGATGTGAGATGTCAGGTCTGCTAACAGGGAACATCTGCTAGTGGCGTAGAACAAAACTCATGATAGACTGAGAGGTTCTTCTCTTTATTTGTGGGACTATAGAATTAACTGGTTCAGCGTTTCATTCCTTATCCCAATAAGTCTCTCAGCTGGATCTGCAGCTAAAGTTGGTTCTCCAGAGTACTGAATTGGTGTTGAATAATCCTTTAAAACTTCTGGCTAATAGAGATTTTAAAAAGTGATGGATAATTTTTATTCCATTTCATAGTTCTGCATGACTCTGTGAAGGTCTTTCGTATTCTAGGGAGAAGGGCTTCACCAATTTGGCTCTTACAAATATTTATAAAATAACGGCACACAGCCAACACTGATGGACCAGGATAAACAAGGATTTATTGTGACTAATGTCCTTATGTCAGCTTTCAGTTATGTTGTAAGACCCCACAGCTATGTTGGGAATTATTCTACAATGTTCACAATGTAAATATACTACATTATGGGAAAATGAGCCTGGAGCACCCACACACACACACACACACACACACACACACACACACACACACACACACACACACACACACACACACACACACACACACACACACACACACACACACACACACACACACACACACACTTAGCCAAATTTGTGTTTTTAATAGTTGCTAAGGAGCTTTCTCTGACCTATAGTGCAAAAAAAAAATGTTGAGGACCAGAAAACTTTCCTAATTTTACAATAATTCTCTCTTAACTGGTAAAATATGAAAAATGTTTTCTCCCTCGGCTTCAAATACACACATATACACACAGGCCTACAGGATGCAGGGAGTGCCACAGCTGAGGATGTTGCTTTGAGCTGAAGGGTGGGGAGCTTACAAAGGAAAAGCTGTATCTGTGTGTTTGGGCGGGGGGTGGGGGGGCATTTCAACTCAGCCACTCCTGGATGAACGGACATGGAATGTTCTGCTGAAGGTCCTCTGACTTCCTTTTGGGTGGGACATGTCTTACCTCACTAAGGTTACTGGTGTTTGGAAACTCCAGGTACCTCAAACCGTTCAAACCTGCAGACTGTACTCAGGGAACAAGCTTCCCAAATGCCTCTGTAGTTTATTTGTTGCACCAGTTTACATCAAATGTCATCAAAGTGCACACAGTGGATTAATAAAAATGTACATATAGACTGATTAAAAAGTTGTACATCCAAGGAAACCCAGCAAATTGCATCAAGTCATTGACTTGCATAATTCACTCACTCAGTATGTGCATGTACAGTAGCTAGACTTGTATTGTTCAGGTTGCAGCAATCCCACCTACTCAGCATACATGTAGAGTTAAGCAGATGACCTCTGAGGAAGTTTTTATGTCAGGAGGTTGAAAGAGAGTGCATACAGTTAATCACAGTAAAAGATGAGTTAATAACTATGTATAAGAGAGAGACAGGACTAAACTCTGAAGAACATGATCAACTATAGGATCTATTATATGAAGTAAGTAAATTAAACTGAGCTGATGTTTTCCAGGACAGTCTCACAGTTTAAAAGATTCAGCCCAGATGGAGCTACTATAAATGTAAAAGCAGAGAGAACATAAAATCAAAGGTTGAAGCAACAAATTATGCAATATTGGAGGACAGAAGTAGAATGTAGAAAGAAACACAGTGTTTATGTCTTCCAGCACCCCAGGCCTATAACAGTATAACTACAGAGATAGTTCAGTGTCATTTAACCATTGTAACTATAAGATTTATTTTTAAAAAAAGCAAAGTTGTAGGCATAGCTTTAAATGTCGACAGGGTGCTTCTATGTTCTCATATCTTTACCATTGTTAATACTGATGTTACACGATTAATCACTGTTGTTACTTCACGTTAGTTCGAAATCAGCTATGGGCAGTAGATCTTCTATAGAAAACAGAACTATTAGTTCCATTTGTTGACACAGAGCCTGATGTTAGGGATTGAGATTCCTCAGATCACGTTCTCCTTTCCATGTCTGTCTCCTGCAGATGACTGTCTGCCATTTGGCCCAGCTGTAGGTCCGTGATGGCCGCAGAGCTTCCTTCAGGTGGAGGAGATGAAGCCCGATTCAGACGCCACGTTGGTCGTCATGGCCTCCCTGGATGGAAGTACAGCGGTTGAGACGTTTCTGGCAGCCATTCATCTGGAGAGGTGAGATCAACATCTACAGCATCATGTAATTAGTCATGTAACCTTATGCTTTGGTATGAACTCTATGCAGGTACCTACACACCTTCCGCCAAGCCGGCCTCCTATTGGCCAGAGACTTCTCCCACCTGGACCATGACGCCTTGGTCAGTTTGGGCGTAACAGCCACAGGACACAGGAAGAGAATCCTGCGATTGGTCAACCACATCCAGAGGAGACAAGGTCAACGAGCCAGTCAGATGGCAGATCTTCCATCTGACTTCTCAGAGGGAGGAAACAACACTGCATCACTTCAGCAGTCAGGTGGACCTGGAAACAGCCCCAACACTGAATGTAGGTTGATGAACCCAGACAGAGCAGCTATGAAACCAGTTCCTAAACCAAGGACTGTGTTCAACCGCCGCAGGACGGCGCCTGTTCAATTCAGTCCTCCAGCAGACTCTGCAGGATCATCACCTAGGAGGATGTCACAGGAGTCCATATGCTTCACTGTGCTGGAGGATCTGACTACAGAGGCCTTGCCTGGTAAGGGTCAGATCATTGAGGCCACATCCAAACCTGCTAGCAGTCCCACTTCAGAAGCAGCTCCCACATCTTCAGAAAGCAGGAGACCCAGCCAAGTTGGCAGAACTAGGCCCAGTCGCAGTCTTTCTCTTTCCGATGCTGTTGGGTCAGTACCTCCTGTTCCCCCAAGGCTGAACCGCAGCACTGGTGCCTCTGTGACATCGCCCTCCTCCTCCTCTACAGAGAGGAGACTGTTATCCTCTATTCCAGGTCGCCCTGGAAGTCTGGAAGGAATCAGACTCTCTGGATCCTCAGTTTCTCCCAGAGGGGGTAGCATGGAGATGGTCTCTAATGAGATTTACTGGGGCACCTCTCCGAGCTCTGCTGCCATCAGTGGAGGAAGGAGTTACAGTTGTCAACAGGCAGGTCCCCCGACACCGCCCAGAAACCTGGATCGGAACCAGAACAAGAACTCTGGGGGGAACCTGGACCGGAACAGGTAGGTCTGCATGATTCAGGGTTTAAAATATAGGGTACTGAGTGTAAAAATAGCAACATTTCTGTTACCAAGCATACTGTCCTCACATTCATTCACTGTCGTAAATATGCTACATATTGGTATTAAATCCACGACTAAATTATATTGATATTTATGTGTTAAATATATATCTACATCATATATCTAAATGTAAATCTTTAATCCAAATATGCCTTTAATCATAGATCTAAATCTTAAATCTAAATCTAGATATATATCTTATATCTAAAAACTAGAACACACATACAGAAAATTATTTATATAGTTAAATAAACAGAAATGGGCCAAGTGCTGAGGCTTGGGGTACACCGGTTTCAATATTAAAAAATAATGATCTTTCATCGCTTACAATAAATCTAATCCAGTTTACCCTGATAAGGTGAAAAAGAAGGAATCATTGAGACTACAGTGGATGAAATTAAACTGTAAATTTTAAATTGGTTTAATCCAGGGTAGCTTAGTAATCAATTGGCTACAACCTTCTGCAGAACTTTGAAGTAGGTAAAAATAAAGTAATTTGTGATCTTTCATTCTGTGTCCATTGACCTACTAAATATTTAAAGTACAGAAAAACTCTGGCTTGATCTAAATATTGTTAAAATATCCCCTGATCATTGTCTAATTGAAATTATGAATGAATAACATTTGAAATATTTTCAGTATTTTGTCATAACATGTAGTATTTAATGAGTTTTTCAAAGGAATTCACTCCCATTATTTTATTTAATTTTTTTAACATATTTTGGTACCATCTTACCGAAATTTAGATTTTTAAATTGTACATTAGGCAGAGTCAATAAGAAATCTATATTTAAGAAAAACTATAAAAAAGACCAGGAAAGAAAAAAAATATCATTTTGCTAATGCATCCCTTGCTATGAAACCACTAAAATATTTGATGCACATCCAACCCTCAAGACTCCCATAAATAATGAAAAGAAAGCGTGACCCCAGGTTCACATTGACTAAATACCTTGTAATCTGGAGGATCTGCTTTACTTTTGTATCTGATTTTCTGTCTGGTTCTCATCTTTAGAAATGTATGTAATTCTTTTGCTTTATCCTTACAAAATAGACTTGATCTATATCTCTGGCAGACAATGAAGGAGGGTTCTCTGTCATGCTGAAGCGCTGCGTAGCTGCACTGCACTGACTAAACTGGCTTTTTTTGTGATGGAGAACAAAACACAAAGATAAATGAGACTGTGTTAACTAACATGATCTGTTAGTATTAACACACCTTTTTTTCAAAGCAAGAGGAATCATTTGATAAAGATCAAGGATCTCGCCATACAAGTCAGGGACAAAATTGGGGTCATAAAACAACTCTATGATGTTGTCCATCTAACCCATCATTTTTAGATGGAATGCACATGGTAAGAGAGGGGCACCCTGTAAAATTTACAGATTGGGCATGAAAGGCATAAAAAGACAAGTCTAGTCATTAAGGAATAATCAATGGATCATTATCTAAACCTAAAATTTATTTGTTTTTAGTTATTTAATGAATTTAGCGTTAATTAGTTAAAAAATTATAATTTTCGTTTCGATCATTGCGTCTGGGACTGGCCATTTTTGCCGGTAAAAGTGAAAAAAACGTGATTTTTCACCTTTCCAATTCATGATCCTCCAAGGATGGGTTCGTTGTTGGATTGCCAACTTGAAGAGGGAGGGTATGAGAAAAAACACGTAATATGTAGCCAACATTTCAAAGAACAATGTTTTGAAGATAGCTAGGGCTGTTGTAAACGAATATTTTAGTAATCGAGTAATCTATCGATTATTCTTACGATTAATCGAGTAATCGGATAAAAAAAATGTATAAAATAAACTATTGGCAAATCTGCAATAACACCAGTTAGTCCAGATCAGTCCAATATCTCCTTTTTGAGCATCCCTAACAGTTAATTGTTTGTAGTTTAGAAAGTTTACTTGTAACAGCAGTTTGCTTTAACCTGAAGAAAAGTTATAAGATATTAAATTATATTCAAATAATAAAGTGGCAGGCTCATAAATATGCTTATAAAAATGTCTAAATGTAAAGGTTTGAGTTTGTACAGAGTTCTGCAGCCTTAACTAGTCATGATAAAATGCAAAAATTTTGCTATTTTTATTAAAACGATGCTATTATTTATTCTTGATTGCTTAGGTATAAACAAATATAGAATTACTACAAAAAATGTTAATCAAAAATTTCTAATTCATACATAACAGTAGCGAGAAGAAAAGACTGTAACTTTTCAGGATGGAAAGACACCAATAAATAAATGCTTTTCAGCTTATGCCTGTAATCTGTTGCTGCATATTTTTATTAACAAACTTACATTAAGTCCTGCATAATTTCTCTCAGTTCCACCCTCACATACAATTTACACTACACCCGGTTAAGTAACCGCTATGATTAGATGTAACGTTAGCAAAATAATGTGCCTCAATTTACATCTATAACATGGCAGATTATCACACAACGTAGTTAGCAAAGAGAACATAAACGTTACCTGTTGGCAACCGTGTACGAGTTGGATGCATGTAGCGGGTGTTTTCTCTTCAGATGCTGCAACATTGATGTCGTGCTTTTATGGTACGCCAATTCTGCTTTGCAGTGGATGCATTGCGCTGTGTTGTCCTTTCTGTTTAGCCTAAAATGTTCCCAAACTTTGGACATTTTTTGTCGCTTTCGGGGTTCTCCTTCTGAGCTTTCTCCGGTTCCCTCCATAGCTACAAACTTAGCACAAGCGCTCCAGGCGCTAACGGAAGTGGTAGGGTTGTGCAACACAGAAACCCTCCGGCTAGACCAGTGTGCTGCGTATTTAACAGCATTGCTTATTACAATACAATAAATTTAGCGAAGCTTCGAGGCAGATACATTTCCTCGAGGATTTTTTGTAATCGAGTTACTCGAGTTACTCGATGAATCGTTTCAGCCCTAAAGATAGCATAATAGGGCGTTCTGACAAACAACAGATACAGCTTTGGGACTTGATCAACAGCCAATACCGCACCGTGACGTCACAAACCAGTAGGTGGCAGTAGTGTTCTTTGGCAAACATGGATGTCTCTGGTAAAGCACATTGAAATGAAATTACTCTTAATTTAGAACACAACAGTATGTAATAATTTCTTATTTAAATCTTATTTAAATCATATTCAGAAGTTTAAATTCTGAATATGACCGGACTTCTCCTTTCACAACAGTTAGCACAGAGACTAAAGGTAACCCTCAACAAGCTACAGAGACTGGAGGATTTGCTGATACAACCACAATAAGCCATACGCAAAAGCCTCAAGCGTGGCAAAATAAAAAACTTTACTTGGTACATGGAAAAAAAACAAATTTTTAAATTCCCCAAATATATCGGGGAAAATGCTCTGAACAGAATCAAGGAAGAAGCTATGTTTGCTGCAAATTCAACACATCCCATCACCTCCATGGTGGTGGTAACATCATGCTATAAAGTAGGGATGTAGGAAAAAATTACTTTGGGGATATATCATGATTTTCATCTGACTGATATAATATCGATCTTTCAATTCCTAGTATGGATTTTTTTTAAAGCAACCCATTTTACCTAAAACAAAGAGGAAACAGGGGTCCTCTGCACTGCCACTCTGGCAGATAGCACTGTAGAGCAATTTTAACAACATATCTGTAGGTGAGGCAGTCACAGTGGAAGACGAGGACTAGAACCCCAAACAACATTGGATACCATAATAACTAAATTATCAACATCTTCTGATGAACATATACATCACTTGCTTTTTTATACATTTAATTTTGATAGCTGGGGAAAATATCACAATATATAATGATGCTGCAATATTGTGATATGGTATTGTGACCCAATATTGTGACATGTATCATATCGCAACACTCATGCCATTACTCACCCCTAGGTGCGAGAATGTCTGTGCGATTTAAAACTGAGACAGGTTTTTTTTCACTTTGGCAAAGACTAAGTGGACCGCTAGAGAAACAGTCCAGTGGTTTCTGGTGAACCCTTTATCCCCCTTGGAATGGCCTAGCCTAGACCTAAACAATTGCCTTGCAGGAATTGACAGAGATCCCTGTAACAGGATGAAGTGAACACAAAGAGACTGATCCAGAGAGACCTGCAGCTGAAACTGCTACTGAAGGTGGCATTATAAAGTACTGAGTTTAACACACAGGAAAGTTATAGGCTTGTTCTGTAAGTAATATGGTGCAAACTCTCAAATTGGCCATTTCACTCGCATCACCCTATGATGCAAAGTCCAATTTTTTAAATTATAAATAATGTTTTTTAAACAACTGAATAGTACATAGTTACTTGATTTTGGCATAGAATTGAAATATATGTCTGGGAAACTCATAGTACTGCCCCTTTAATAATAATAAAAAAAAAAACAGAAGTAAAAAGTCTGCCTTTAGAGGATAAAGTGTGGATGACATATATTGGAGATTGCAGGATGTTGGTAAAAAACCAATCCACAGGTAAGAAAAGTTCCTTTAATCGAGATGTTCTTACCGTTAACTTGCTGGTTGTAAACAAGATATGAAAAGCTTTTGTAGTTACTAAACTGTGCTTTGTTTTGGAATCTTTGCGGATGGATTACTAAACTGTGCCCCTGGTGTGGCAAATTAACAAATGTGTAACATCAAGGATTGTTATGAGGAATGATGCAAAAACACGCACAATTATTGTTTTACTTTCCACCCACCTCGATTAAATAAATGACTTTGGCAAATTTTATAAAAAGCCCTCTGATAATCATTAAAATACAATGGTTCAAATAGTCTTTTACTTATAAAAGCAGTGGTGTGAGTATGATGTGCATGCCGTTGGCAAACATTGTTGGGGAAGGTGTGGCAGCATGCTATACAAATTTACTACAATTAACAGCTCTTGTTACCACCTAGCTGGCTTTCAGGGTGAGTTTAAGGCCCTATCTTTTTCACTTACCACTTGTTGCTGTTCGGCCCTTGGTACACACTATAGCCTTTTCTCATTTCATTAGTTACATCCTACCTTTTTATTCTACCCTCTTTGCCTGTATGGCAGCGCCAGCAGCAGTCCATTGGCATGGCAAGTATTGCAAGGCCTATTACAGCTTTAACAGCTTCGGGCGGTTATTGGTTACCATGTTTGACTTTGTGTGGATGTAGCCTAAGGAAAGTTGGATGGCTGTTTTCTCCTTGCAGTAATGTGGAGAATAATTATCTTATTCAAATCTTTTTTTAATTTCAACAAGTGTGGAAACCTTAGACACTCTTGAAGGATCTGTAAGTTAGGGCTGAAACAATTAATTGGATTAATTGTGATTAATCAATTATTGAAATAATTTAGTAATCGATTAATTGTTAACTGCCGTACAGATACTGTAAAATATGCCTTTAGCTGACAGAGCAACCCACTTAGAGCAGTAATTATTTCAAAATTGTAAAAAAAAAGTATATATAAATATTTTGCATTTAAGGTGAAAAATTGTTTTCGTCTGTCAGTATGCTCTATCCAGAACTCTTCAAGTGGAAAAGGTTTGGTTTCACCTGGTTTGATTTTGTAAAAAATCTTCTTTAAGGAACCTTTGGCCATTTGATTATTAATTGATTAATCGAAAAAATAATTGACAGATTAATCGATTTGCAAAATAATTATTTAGTTGCAGCCCTACTATAAATAACTTAAAATAACCCCTGATAGACTTGTACATACTTTTGACCTGTCACAAATATTATAGTTATCTGGAATCTTTAACTAAATTTCTATATTCATTGCTGGTTTGATATTTTAAAATCTATGTTTTGCAACATAAAGTCAAATAACAAAAGCATTAAATGAGTACAACAAGGCAAATATTGTAGGGATTGTAGTAGTAATACTAATAATAGTATTATTAATTATTTATTGGTCTGTTTCCAACCTCTGAAGTGGGTCTTGTTGACTGTTGATGTCTGGGTTTTCAGCGGCAGCACTTTGAGTAACAACTCTTCAGGATCAGCCAGAGGTGAGTCCAGACTTGATTTTAATATGGAACATTCTGTTCTTTGGTTGGGTCTTTCTGATTAAAATCACTCTGAGAAGATTGAAACTAAACAGTAAAGGTCAGATTTTAAAGTGATTTCCTTTACTAGTAAATCTAGCCTGCTATGGTTCTGACTGATCCATCAGAATGTTAATTAAATCCTTTCTTTCTGGTTTCCAGCCTCCACAGATGACCCAGAAGAGGAGATTAGTCCATATTGCGAGGCTGTCTTCCAGACCAGAAGATCCCCAACTGCCTCTGAGGTGAGACCCAACAAACACTGACCTTTTTGCATCATACTGGACAGAAATGGTCTGACTGACCCATTTGCTCTGCAGAGCGATCAAAGCCGATCAGATGGCAGAGAAACCAGAATAGAGGAAGGGAGACCAACCGAGGATCATGGGTAAATAGCACAACTTTCAGGAGGATGAACTGAACATAAAGTAGATTGTGTTAACAGAAGCAGCTTCTGTTAGACTACTTTTTGTGGTTTACCAGAACACTGATGTTTGGGATTTAATATCAGCCAATTAAAGTCAATCAGATATAAATTCTGCAGATTTAAAAAAACTTCTAAATCATCGGCTTGGATTTCTATTCTAGATTACCAGGAAACTGAGAACCATAAACATTCAAATGGGCTGAGCATAGAGCCCTGAGGTTCTCCACTCAGAAGATTTAGATTTTTACTCAAATCTACTTCATGCAGTTCTAATATTCCAGTTTACTTGGGTTCTTCCTAAATGTACCTTCTAAATTTAAAATATGAAACTGCAGATGGATGGATGGACACCCAGAATCTCTCTGCCTTTATAAAGACTTTTCTTTCTTTCTCCAGGTGTCATAAGTTTTCCTGGACAAAGCGTCTGTCGCAGGCATTTCACTCAGGAGATTCTCAGGGTTACAGCACTGTCGGCGAAGCTCCGCCCTCTCTTCGCTGGTCTTCTCTGCCCCCCCACACTTTTCCCCCTGAGGCTGACGATGACCTGACCATCTCCCCCTACGCCAGCTACACATCGTTAACTGAAAGAGCCCCGCCCATTATTAGTGGCTGGCTGGACAAGTTGTCACCACAGGGGTGCGTTTCATTTTTTTTTTTAAGGGCATGTTGGATTCAGTTTTTCTGCCAAATAAGGGTCTGGGAGTTACTGCATACAGCAGAAGGCCTTTTATTTACATATCTGGATGAAGCAGCAGGGGTGTTCGACTGTCAGTTTGATTAATAAAGCAGGTTAAGTTAGAGATGTGTCCAATATTGGTACTTTTTACACTGATTTAACACCTACTGTACAGTATATCAAACATTAGAGGAACTATGTCTAAACCTGATAGGGTGATTATTTTATAGCAGGTTAAACAAGGGGGAGCTTGTTTTACTGTAAAAGTGTGTTTGATCTGCACTGCAGAGTAAACTGGGCTTTGTTTGATCAGTTTAAACTGGCAGTGCGTTTGATTTCCTCACCTGGCTTTACAGCTTTTTCTCTGTCTTCAGGGCCCGCAGGCCAGCGGTGGCTGTTGTGCTGCGTCTCCTCCTCTTTGCTCCTCCCTGTGTCTCCTCCTGCCTATGGAGCTGGCTCTTCTTCATCCTTTCTTCCTCCTCTTCTTCCTCCTCCACTCGGTGTGTTTGTCCTTTCCTCTTCACGCTCTTTTCCTAACTTCAGGCTTTGAAGGAAGACATGTTGGAATGGATGAGAGCAGGCACTGGAACGTCAGGTTTAGATCATGTCTTTAATCCGTGTTTTTATTATTTAGGAATTACGTTTTCCAGAAGCGCTTTGTGAAGTTTGACGGGAAGAACCTGATGTACTTCGGCAGTGAAAAGGTTAGAAGACCTCTATGTTTCTGTTCTACAGCTTCAGGCCAACAGCTTCAGATTTCCTTTTGCACTGCCTTGGGTATTAAACACTTGACCTGCCATCTATGTGTTCCCTCAGGATGTCTACCCTAAAGGAGTAATCCCATTGGCTGCCATCCAGATGGCCCGCCCAGCCAAAGACAACAAGTTTGAGATAGTGACGAGTCACAGGATATTTGTGTTTCGGACCGATAATGAGGGTGAACATAAGCAAAAATTCCTCTTTAAGGATGTTCTCCCCCCGGTTTGCAGAAGATAAAACATATTTAGGCCAGGAACTTTTTTTAAATACTCAGGTCATCACACACTTAATTTTCCTAAAAGCAAAGACTATAAAATAATTGCTACACCATTTGATCTGAAGTAGAATGTCACAAAAGATGCTATCTATTACTAAACTGATTAACTATTCTTGCCTCTTAGGTGAGGGAAGAAACTTTACAATCTGTGAATCAAAACAGCAAGGTTTCACCACAGCTTCATCTCTTTTACTATGAGGTTGTTGAACTTGAATTAATCCCATTATCCTTTTCCACCACCCAGGACAGCTCTGAGTGCTGCTTCTTTCCCACTCCTCTCTCTCTTTCTTCTATGTGCAATACATACCATTTTCATCTAAATTTAGATTATGACTTGTGCAACTCCCAGTATTTTTTTGGGTATTGGTTTTTCATTCATCTGTTTTATACTTATTAATGGTTAGTTTGTATTGCAAAATTTGCAAAGTTTGTTCAAATTCTTAAAATGCACAATAGTTTTGTGCTTTGAGAATAAACCAGAAGTTTCCTGCTGACTCCTTTCTGCTGCTTTTCACCTCCTCCCAGCACCAGTGCTGCTCATTATACTGACTCTGCTTTCTCTTCGACCCACTCTTTGAAAAGCCACCTAGAATTACCCAACAAATCCAATTGAATAATTTGCTCTTTACATGCTCAGGCAATATTTATATAACAAAAAAATGTGTTCTTAACTGTGACTTTATTTGACCTGATGAAATAAAGGTAAATAAAAAAAAACATAAGGATTCCATTTATTTTTAGGTATTGAGGTTTTTAAAATATACATAGTCTGAATTCTTGGACTTTGTAGCATTAAAGTGATTTTCTTTTCAGAGTGTTCTTTAATCACATTCTAAAATGTGATTCTACAAAGGATAATGTTAGGGATGATGGAATTGGATTTATTAAGTCAGTGCTCTCCTTATTTGTTAACTTCTTTGTTAAGCTAGATGTGCTGAATATGCTATACTAGAATTTTCACTCATTACCACTAGTGTTTATTTCTAATCCTCTTCTCTACAACATTAATTTACCGCACCTTGCATCTATTTTCTCTATTATTTTTACCTTTTTCCTATCTAGACCTCCTTTCCTCTTGATCGTCTCCCTCACTCCTTTTTACAAGCTATGTAGAGTACGCAGGGCCTCAGTCTGTTGTCAGAGACAGAAAGGAGGGGGCGATGGGATGTGTCTACTGTTGTATGTGGTAGCCTCAGAGACCCAAGTGAAATTCCAAAATGTTATTGACCGTTTGAAAAATAAAACAAGCCACCTGAACAGAGCCATTGGTCTCATACAATCTAGAATCAGAGATCTCCCAGTTCTCTGTTGGCCAGTGGTGGCTGAATAAATGTGATGCTCAAACGCCCTTTTGCTTCACAAAGCTGAGGCATGCTTATCTATCTCTGTTGTAGTAAATAATGAAGTTTAAGGAGAATTTTAGATTTCGGAAAAAAGTAGAAAAGACTCCAATCTCATAGGTCCAAACAGTTAGACAAACTTACTCAGGTATGACATCACTTTGCTGGATCTGAAAGAACATCCTGATCAAAATAATAATAGGAAACCTGAACTTCCTCTCTGGCATGGTGGATGAAGATTTCTGACAAATGCTTTTAGCCCAAAACTTTTTTGACCATTTAGAGCAGAGCTTGGAAATATGAGGGAAAGCTTTTGATGTGAACTGATCAGTTTTATTCAGGAGAATTGGATTAGCCATGTGTTTCTGATGCTGCCGTTTCCGCGGTGATGACTGCTTCTTTGCTGTGTGGCAGTGCTGAGGCGGCGCTGGGTTGCCACTCTACAGGAACACGTCAGAGATCATCAGGTGTTTGGTCGGCGCCGCTTTGGACCCGGATCTCACTGCCAGAAACATGGTGTCCTAGAGCTCAAAGGAACAAAATCCAAAGTTTATGCTGCCATTAACACAGACCAAATCTGGCTCTACAAGAGCGAGCAGGTGAGTGCTCTGACAGGAAGGGGGAATTAAAGCAAACAGGAGGGAAGTGTTATAAGCTCACCAATCTCCTGAGTTCAGAGTTCTGCAGATAAAATTCATGTTCATTAATAATCTAATAATTTGAGACGGAAACGGTTGAAGAGGTTTATGTGGCTCTGCAGCTGCTATTGATGTTTTAGATCAGGACCAATAATTCATCTGTAATCAGGAGGTTCAGGTCATGAGATTCAGTTTAGTGTGGCTCTGTGGGCCTGTCAGTACCAAACAGCAGTACCAGAGGAAGTCGGTTCTGATCCTGTCTCTCTGGCTGCAGTGCTTCCGAAACGGAATTGGTATCACTGTGATCGAAGCCCGCGGTGCAACGATCCGAGACGGAAAGCACAGGAGCTTTGACCTCATCACTCCCTACAAAACCTTTAGGTTGGTGATCTCCCCTCAGCTCTGCAGAGATTATGGAGAAATTCTGATGGTCACAACAGAATCTCTGTCTTTTTTTCCTCAGCTTCACGGCTGAGTCAGACCGGGAGAAGCGGGACTGGATGGAGGCTTTGCAGGAGGTGATTGCAGAGACTCTATCCGATTATGAGGTAGCTGAGAAGATCTGGTCAAATCGATCAAACAGGATGTGTGCTGACTGTAAGGCCCTGAACCCGGACTGGGCCTCCATCAATCTCTGCGTGGTCATCTGTAAGAACTGTGCAGGTAGGACAAGTAAGGGTCAGTTTATGGCCTGCAGCAGAACGTTTTTCAGATCATCTTGGTTGTGTAGTCAAACAGAATAAATGTCTGTGTCTGTCTTTATACTACTCTAAAGGCCTCATGGGTGAGATCAAATCTTAGCAATATCAAAGAGAGACTGGGGAACCTGTAGAACATCTGATGGAGCTGCTGAGTTTACAGGATTTTGAATATTTAAAGGTTCCTGCTGTTAGAAGCTGCAGAGAATCAAATCCCTGATTACATCAGGGCTTTATTACCGGAGTTTCTGATCCGACTCCAACGGACTTAGGCCGACCAAACAGCCATTACCACATGAAACTGCTCTGAAATCAGCAGCATGGGTTCAAATTAATTATTGAAACATGCTGGATAACGACTGGCGAGGGGATAGCAACCACAGCTGGGCTCTGACCCAAAACAATGGTGTTACAACATGAGATGTTTTTACTCTTAAGGTTGGTTTGTCCTCAACAGCAAAGGTGAACCTTGACAGACATGTGCAGGCATGAACCCCTGCAGGTGTAACTGTCGCTCTGAATGTAGGTTTAGCTGCTCTCAGACACAGGAAGTAAAGTTCATGAAGCCTCAGTCAGGAGAACATCCTTTAAACCCAGTGTGATCTTTGTGTGTTTTACACCTAGTACCTGCTGCAGGTATTGAACTCTGATTTTCATTTCAAACAACGCTCTGTGTCTCTGTATGTGCAGGGCAGCACAGAGGTTTGGGGACAATGGTTTCTAAAGTCCAAAGTCTCAAACTTGACACCAGTGTTTGGAGCAATGAGATTGTTCAGGTAAGAATGAATCCATCCCTCACTCCATCCATCCCAACTGAGTTCTAACATCTGGTAGTTTTAAATCTGTCTATGATCCATTATTACAGTGTACAGCTGAAACCAGATTATCGGGTTGCTCTGACGGTTCTGAGCATTTCTGACTCAGAATAAAGTCTAACTTTGTGTTTATTCATTTGTCAGCTGTTCATCATGCTGGGTAACGACCGGGCCAACGACTTCTGGGCGGCCCACCTCTCTGTGTCTGAGGAGTTAGACTGTGACGCTACACCGGAGCAGAGAAGGGAGTTCATCAGCCAGAAGTACAGAGAGGGTCGGTTCCGTCTGGCCCACCCAGCATTCAACAGTCAGGAGGAGCTCCTTAAGGTCCGATCTATGGGATTATGATATGACACCGGTTTCCTTTACTTACACTCACAAGAAATGCATTGTTTAACCTTTAAAAACTGAATGGTCTTCTGACCACAACTGCCGTTTGTCCAACCTCAGTAAACACCTCACACAACCTCTGGGAGCAGAATCAAACCATTGGTCCTTCCTTTGTCCCACAGGTCCTCTGCTCCTCCGTCTCTGAACAGACTCTCCTGAAAACTGTCACTCAGATTTTCTCAGAGGCCGCTCGGCTCGCCGCCGACTCGGACCATCGTCAGCAGCAGCATTGCCTGGAGCACCTGAGCCCATCAGGTGAGGACCCTCCTGGTACCGTGAGTTCAGTTTGGTCTCTGAAGCTGCAGAGGAAAACCAGCTGATGGTTTTGCAGGTCATCTGATTTGATCTCAGACAGAATCAGAAGCTGTGTTTCGGACTGTCACTGTAAAATAAAGCACCAGCAGATTTCTGAGGATTCTCAAATTATTCCAAAATCAATTAAAAATTCTGACCTAATCTTTTTATCTTCAGTCTTCCAAGCTTCACTGGCTGCAAAAGAAGCCAGAGCTTCTACTTGCTTTTATCACCTGTGCTGTGATGTCAGAGCTGCAAGGCACGCTGGGGACTGTGACAATGTATGCTGGGAGCTGTAGTTACATTTTGTTAGTGGTGTAATACACCTCTGTACAACAGCCTACAAACCCAGCAACTTTCTACTCCAAAACGGACTTGTGTTTATTCATAAAACAGCCAGGGTTATTGAGGAAAAGTCTTGGTTCTTGGATTGGAATAAAACCCATTTTCTAGACCAAAGCTTTTGATGCAAAAGTAAGGAACAAACATTGCTTATAAATGTATGTGGCATCTCAATACTTTGAACTAGGGGGATTTGTTTCACATAGCAGAAAGTTTAGAAACCACTATTGTCCACAATTAGCATTCAAGGTGATGAAAAACTTGCATATGGAGACACTGCTGACCCTGACTCCTCATAAGGTTCTCCTGGGAAACTCTAGGCAGACTCCAGGTCAGCAGTTAGTAGCAGGAAGTTTTAGTTCACTAATTGTGATTGACAGCTAATGAAGGAAAATCTCCTGATGTTTTGTCTCAGTTCTGTGTTTTGTTTAATTCTGGTTCTGGTCGTCTTGCAGACCCCAGCGTTTATGATGAGATCATGCAGCCCATCCTTCACTCTGGTTTCCTCTACAAGGCCTCTTCACTCAGCAAAGGAACACTGTCCAGGAAAACCCGGGAAGGTGGGATAGGTTCTTCAGAACAAATTGAAATAAACTACTGGGCCAGTCTGGATCATGTCCAATATGACATGAGGGAAGCAAGTTTGTCTAATAAAGGAAGCTTAGTCTGAACCCGAATCAATCCTATTGTTCCTTCAGACTTCCAGAAGTTCTGGTGCTCCGTTGATCAGTCTCTGGTTCTGTATGAGTCAGAACACTCGGCGGACCCCTGCCTGCAGATCAATGTCAAGGACATTGTGTGCCTGGGGGTCAGTCGACCTGACGCAGCAAGCAACAACAACGGATTCATTGACAGGTTGGTGTTTAGCTGCATGGCGCCACCTTCAGGTGTCCGTCTGAATCTAAAGGTTCTGTTCTGTATGTTCTGCAGGTTCCGCTACACCTTTGAGGTATATGTGGCATCAGAGAAGCTGTTCCTGTTTGGGTTGGAGACAGCCGATGCGCTGCACAGCTGGACTAAAGCCATTGGACAGGTCCTAGTCTCTAGGTTCTGGTTCTGTACCAGGACAAACACTGAGCTTATTTTTCTGATGTTGATCTTCCAATCTTTTTTTTAATGGAATTATATTGTAGTATTTCATTATTAGCTTTTTATATGTTAAATATGAATTATATTATATATGAATTATTAATAATGAATTTAAATCTGTACAAACAATCAGGAAAGAAGGATTTAAAAATAAAAATGGGTCATATTAAAAAAAAAAATGATCGTATCTGCTCTGAACAGATGACAGAATTGACCTTTCTAAACCTGCTGTTCTACTGTGGTCTGGCAGGCTGCCACGCCGCTCAGCTGTCATTGCCTGCTGACCCGGGAGTTTGAGCGGGTTGGGCTCCTGCGGTACCGAGCCATGTTGGATCCTCAACAGTGGAAAGAAGCCTACTTCGTCCTGCAGAAGTCGAACCTTTTCATCTGCCCCCGGAACGACGGAGCGGCTGAGGACATCATCAACCTAAACCGGCTGCAGGAACTCAGTCAGTCTACTAGTCAGGGGCCTGGTTCTGATCCGTCACGCTGAGGTTCTGAGTGGTTTCTGTGAGGCTGTGTATTTTTTGTGCTGCAGGTATCACTTCAGAGAATGAGAATCACGAGAAGAAAGAGATTCTGGTTCTGGTGGAGAAGGGAAGGTGAGGCATGATGAGTCCCAGCTCTACCGTAGTGTTTGTTTGGTTTTGGTTCTGGTTGCCTTTAACTTTATGATTGGGCTTTCCTCGTGTTTAGGACTCTCCACCTGCAGGGTGTGGGGCGCACAGACTTTCCTTTGTGGTACTCGGACATCCAGCGAGCAGCCGGCGGAAAAGGGAATGCTCTGCGGGAGCAGCAGATGAGCCGGAGCGACATTCCCATCATTGTGGACAGCTGCATCGCCTTCACCACGCAGTATGGTGAGGAACTCCCAGAGAGTTATGCTCCATCTGAACAGCTCAGAGTCAGAGACCGAAGGACCTTTGAGCCCATAGTTCTGGTCCACTGCAGGTCTGGGCCATGAGGGGATCTACAGGAAGAATGGAGCCAAGTCCAGGATCCGGCTGCTGATGGACGAGTTCCGGAAAGACGCTAGGAATGTTAAACTGCGGATCGGTGACCATTTCATTGAGGATGTTACTGACGTGCTGAAGAGGTTCTTCAGAGAAATCGATGACCCGATTTTCATGGCTGAGCTACACCCAGTGTGGCAAGAGGCTGCAAGTGAGTCCAGTTCTGAAAACAGCCCTGCCCTTAGGTTTCTGCTCTAACTAGAGCTATGTTTTCAGAATTTCTGCAGAATTTAGTTTTGTAGATTCTGGTTCTGTTTTGAAGAACTTTGCTCAAGATTATGGTACATAGCAGGACCATACCTGAGCTGCATAATGTTCTGTATTGGACCAGCAGATCTTACGATTTCCCAGCTCTTTCCAACTGTTTCTCTGCTCTGGGTTGAATGGACAATTCTTCAATCACTCAGAAATGAATGACATTAACCCCGAATGTGCACAGCATCTGTCTACACTGTGCTGCAAACTTCTCCTTTTCACTGTGTCCAGTTCTTCTCTGCTCCTCTGCAGTACAAAGCCCAGAGGAGCTCCAGGAAACATATATAGAGCCAGTGTTAAACACCCAATTCAAAACAAGATAACTTAAGCTGATTTGAAAACTGTTGAAACCACTTCACTTTTCATTTTTTGACTTCCAGATATTTCAGTAGTTATATCTATTGTGTGCTATTGGTAATATACTGACCTATAAACTAAAAAATAACAAGATTTTGTGAGATCTTAAGAGGAAAAAGAAAAATGTACAGGGATTGTTAAAAAGGTAAAATTCCCTGTAAACAACTCGTCCTCTCCATCAACCTTGCTCCAGTCAAGTTTATTTCCTATCTAACCTCATGGTATGGTCTGGAACGACTATAGTGCAATGTGTAGCTAGTGTTCACATCCTGGTTCCTGAGCCATTCATAGTTCCCGAGGTTGCATAAACCGAGCCCTATATTTGGTATCTTGTTCTGGCAAAAGAGCAGCACCCTGTAAAATACAGAAGCAGACCAGAAATAGCCTCAACAATACCTTCAAAAGCATTCATACAAATTCTTACTTTGGCTGGATAGTCTTTATCCGTCATCTTATATTTAGCTGTGCTGCTACATCCTCATCTCTTGTAATTTAGCAGCCTGCATGATCCTGCATGACCCTTCCCAAAGGGTACGTCATCTGTTTTCTGTATGGTTCCGATTTGAAACGCTAGATGTTTTTTTACGTATTGCACCCTTGAGGAAACATAGCTTTGTGTCTTTGGTGATTCGACTTAAAAGTATGGATGCGGTTTCTGCTAATTGACTGAATAAAATTTTGCCACTGTGCCGTCTGCTCACTGCCGCCATGTTCCACTGCCATACCAAGGGATCCAAATGCTCTCATTGCTTATAACTGGTAATTGTGGACGTTGAATTTGAGCAGAACCAGCTAAAGTGGGAAATTGGGGTTATGATCGGGATACAAGAGATGTTCATCTTTCCACATTCTTGTTTTTAAAGTGTTCCTGGAGATCATGTTCAATGCTCTTGTTCTCATTTCAGAAATCCCTCAGAAGCGTTCCAGGTTGGACCGTTACAAAGAGATCATCCGGAGTCTTCCTCGGGTAAACCGGACCACTCTGGCTGCCCTAATCAGTCACCTTTATAGGTGTGTGTTCTCATCAGCTGCAGAGCCAGGAAGCAGTTGCCGGTTCTGACCTGTCTCCTCTCTGTCAGGGTCCAGAAGTGTGCTGACCTGAACCAGATGTGCACCAAGAACCTCTCCTTGCTGTTTGCTCCCAGCTTGTTTCAGACCGATGGGAAGGGTGAGCACGAGGTGAAGATCGTTGAGGATTTGATCGATAACTACCTGTACGTCTTTGAGGTGGGTGGACTCTCAAGATCATCTGGAGGTTCTGCTGGAGGAACCTGTGGACTTTGCTCACCTGTTGCACCGTTTCAGATTGACGAGGATCATCAGACTCAGATTGAGCTGGAAATCAGCCTCATCACCAGCTGGAAGGATACACAGGTCTCTGCCCCCCCCCCCCCCCCCCCCCAAAGATTGAAACTTCACAGCAAATCTCACCTTCTTTGTTCTTGATATGTTTATGTCCAACTGAAAATAATTGTAGACGTCAGCCTCCTGGTTATTGATGAACTGACCAGGGATCAGTTTGTGTGTGCAGCTCTCTCAGGCCGGTGACCTCATCATTGAAGTCTACCTGGAGATGAAGATCCCAGACTGCTGTATCACTCTGAAAGTAGGTCAGTTTTCATCTATCCAACATCTGCTGAGCTCTGAGGTTTTATATTGTGACCTCTGACCCCCCAGGTGTCCCCCACCATGTGTGCCGAGGAGTTGACCAACCAGGTTCTGTACATGAGGAATGTCCCGGCTGGAGAGAAGGACGTCTGGATGACGTTCGAGGCCATCGAGGACGGCCAGCTGGGTGAGAGCGAGCACCTGTTCTCCTGGTTCTATCCCAGTTTTCCTGGTTCTGTCCATTGTGCTGGGTGAACACTGGGGTTCTTGCTTCTGATCTGTGTGTTTTGGTCCTCTCAGAACGTCCGTTACATCCCAAAGAGAAGGTTCTGGAGCAGGCGCTGCAGTGGTGCAAGATGGCTGACCCCAGCTCTGCCTTCCTGGTGGTGAAGAAGGTTCCTAAAGGAGAGGGCATCAATATCCTCACCTGTAGGTACCACACCTGGATCCACACACACATGAAGGGTTCTGATCCATTTAGCAGGGACATGCTGCGGTCCTGGAACCTCTTAGCACAGAACCTAGAGATGGGTACATCAACAAGTTTAAGTTTATGTTCTGTGCAGAACATCTGGAGAACATTTCTTCTGTTTCAAACCATCAGCCTTTGTTGTAAAAGAGGCAGGCCTGTTTTCTGATCCATCTAAGTAGAAATTTGTTCTCCTTCTAAGATAAAATGTTAAAAAGTTGCATGACGAAAGGCTAAGTCCAGGCCACAGTAGAGCCACTATCAGAGGCTTAGCTTCAGTAAAGTGGAAGTGTTTCGTGGGTCCCAGACTGGTTCTTCTGGGGGTGGAAGGACAAGAAACTCATCTCGATTGACTGCTGCCCTGCATCTGTCCCCATCTATGTCCATTTGTTCCTCAGCTTATAAGAGTGAGATCATGAAGGTTGGGCTGCTGCGGTGCCGTGAAGAACCTCCCAAGCTCCTTCAGGGAAACCGGTTCCAGGAGAGAACGTTCCAGATCCGAGACCATAAACTGCTGCTGCTCAAAGACAAAAGGGTGAGCAGAACTCAACCAAGAATCAGTAAAGCTGTGTGTGATCCGGTGTGACTGGACCGCCTGTGTTTCTGTTCAGAGCATCAAACCTGAGAAGGAGTGGGCCCTGAAGACCATGAAGATCTACATCGGGATCCGCAGGAAGCTGAAAGCTCCAAGCAGGTGAAGCACCAACGTTTCTGATGGAGACACAAAGCAGCTGGGCTTTGGTCAGAGTTCTATTTCACCTGGACCTTTAGTCCTGCTTCTTTAACATCCAATTCAAAGGTTTTAGTTCTTTTCACCTTAGACCTTCTTGGGACGTTAAGTAGTAGGTCTGAGTCCACTAGAACCAGATCTGCTTACATTTCTAGGTTCTGCAGAACATAAAACTTTATTCTATTGGATCAGAAACTGATAAGTTTTTTAGATGCAGACACTAATCTGAGACCAGAGGTCTGATCTAGGATTGGATAAATTCTGCCTTTATACCTGGGTCTGACCTAGTAACTGGCATCTGTAGATGGATCAGAAGGTCTGCAGCTCCTCTATGATATCTGTGTCTCTGCAGGTGGGGCTTCACCGTGATATCAGATAAACACCAGCTGTGAGTATTACCTAAGGACCAATTTTTATGATCATACTGGGTCAAAACACACCCAGTTTGATCATTGAAGTTAGTGATCATTTTGACCAATCGGCAGCCTGCTCCTCCCCTCAGGTTCCTGTGCTGCAGCAGTGAGGCCGAGTTGTGGGACTGGGTCACCAGCTTCCTCAGAGCTCAGGTGAGTCCACCGTCTGCAAACTGATCCTGGATCAGGGCAGCTCAATCTAGAGTTCTGTACTGTTTTCAGAATGATGATCCAGATCCTCCCGTGCTGCGGCGCCATTCCTCCTCCGACATCTCCAAGCAGAAGTTTGGTACCATGCCACTGGTTCCCATCAGAGGAAATGAGAGAAACAGCAGCATGCTGTCAGCCAATCAGACCCTGGTAAGAAACTCTAGAAGTTGGTCAGACACCAGAACATCGGATTGCTTGTTGTCTTGAAATCTTTCTCTGGGTTTTAGATGTTTTACTGAGTTTCTTCTTCTTTTCCTGCAGAGAAAATTACATGATAGGAGGACGCTGTCCATGTACTTTGTGAGTAGTTGGTCCCTTTACTGATTTAAACTGCTTCTTCTTGGTGGTTCAGTGGTTAGACAGCAGTGATTGGGAGTACTGCAGAGGCCCGATTCCAAACCCGGACTCTCCCACTGGGTCCCGGAGCCAGACCTTAATCCCAGGATGCTCACCGGCGCTGAAGGGTGATGGGTTATGGAAATCATGCAGAATCTATTTGTTCAAAAGAGCAGCTCAGAAAAAATAAGAGGAATTGGTTCAGACTGATCTATTACCGTAGTTTGCAACATCACATCCATGTCCTGATGTTTTACTCTGTGGAAATGTTTTTATTTCAACTAAATAAAACTTTGTGAGGTCTGACAAAGGTAAGGAAATAAAAACTTTGGAGTCCTTTAAGTTGAAAAATAAAACCAAAAAAAAAAAAAAAAAAATCAACACATTTTTAATTTTTGTTTTATTGATATTCTTTTTTTATTGATTCCTAGGATAAAAATTCGGACTTTTTTAAATAGTTAAATATTTTAAATGATAACAGATTAATTAAAACAGTTTGAGAAATGTGTGTTTATGAAAAACAGATAAAGAAAAAAAAAACTAAATGGTTAATGGTTAGGATTTCTGAAACTTTATTTAAAATCTGTGGACCTTCCAAAACCAGCTGCTACTTCAGTACTGTAAACCTGGGTTCTCTGTCTGTCTCCAGCCAATGAAGGTCCAGCAAGACTTGTTTGAGGAGCGTGCAGAGTCTCCAGACCTTCCTGAGCCACTCTATGAGGAGGTGGGGGACTTTGGACTGCAGGTTCTGAAATCCCTGGAGACCAGCTTCAGGTCCAGCAGCATCGCAGAGACCCAGGAGGTCCCGGACCAGCCTCCACTCAGACTGGTCCTATCAGAGAGCGGCCATCTGGACCACATTATCATCCCAGAGGAGGTCCAAAAAGCACCAGGTTCTGATGAAACGCTGGAGCAGAGCAGCAATGGAGGAGGAACAAACTGCAGTACTACTAATCAGCCAGCAGGAGGAAGAATGCAGCCACTGCCAGGAGGCTGCACACCTTCACAGGAGCTGCTCCTGCAGGAGCTGTCCTCCGCCTTCAACAAGAACACTGATGAGGAGGAGCGGGAGGAAGAGGAGCAGAAGGAGGAGAAGCTGTATGATGTCTGAAGGAGCAGCACCAGCAGGTGGGAGAACTTTGAAACGGGAAGATCAGAACCTTTAGGAAGCTCAGCTACAAGTTCTTATCAGAGGACGAAGCCAGTAAGCCTGATGAGGGTTCAGCTCAGGTGGACCAATCAGAACCAGGCAGGTTCCTTCAGAACTGTGGACAAGTGATACTGTAGCTGCGGAGGTAATGACGTCATAACCATCAGGTGACAGGAAGGTCAGCTCAGATGGGAATGTTTGGGACACACATGGATTTTTTTTCTTTATTTACGGGTTCTGTTTAGATTTTGTGGACTGGATGGGTTCTGATAGAACTGATGAGTGCAGTGAGGTTGCTTCTCTGGACCAAAATTAAAATCTTCAATAAAACATCCTGAGAACTTTGCAGTCCGAGCCTAAAACTGAAAGGGTCTGATCGGTTTATCAGAGGACCAGATTGACAGGAGAAACATGCCCTGATGTTGGGGAGGGGGGAGAAGAAGAAGAAAATTGTGCAGAACCGAGCATGAATGAAGCTGTGAACAATAAAGATCTCGTCTTGACTGGTTCCGTCTCATTTTTATTAAACACTCTTTCAGCTTTCAGTCACATGGAGCTCCTGGTCCATGACATGAATAATCAAAGAAAGCGTCTGCATCTGTTACCATGGTAACCAAGAATAAAATATTCAGAAACAAACTTTGGAGATCATTGGTGAGGCTCCATCAACATTGGTTACCATCGTTACCAACAGGTGATGGGATACAGGACCAGTTAGTGGGGTTAGCATCCATTACCATGGTAACCGAGAAAGGTGAAGCGTTGAGCCCATCCCAGAGGTCAAAGCTTTAGTAAACTGGACAGGTATTGCTTGGCTTGCTACTTCTTCTTCATAACCTGCAATCTCCGAGCAGCCGACAGTCCATCTATCAGTCCTGAGACTTTCAACGGCTTGTAGGCAGCAGATTTATGGAGTCGCTCTCCTTTCAGAGTCACAACGTGAGGAAGCAGTGGAGGCGTCCTCAGCCCAAAACCTGCAGCCGCTGGTCCGTGAATTCTCAGCTGAACCTGTTCACCTGCTACTGCCGTCACAGCAACCCACCCTGTGCACAGAAAGGTGGATTCAGTCAGGAAAATTCATTAACCCTTGGGGTCGCAGGGGCAGCAGGCCTACCTGCTGAGGACAGAGTGATGTCAGCAGCAGCCTCCAGGTAACCAAGACCCTCCAAACTGAAGTCCTGAGGAACCAAAGTGGGAAACTGTTTCATCCTCTCCGACCCTCCTACAGGCACCTGAACACAGCACAAAGAGCAATTCCAGAGCCTGTACGCAGCGGTCCGACTGATGCGGCGAAGAGTCAGACTGCAGTAATATTACTTACCCCTAGCAGAGCATGGCCTGCATGTCGCTCATAGATGCTGTCAGCTTTTTCCAAACCAGTGACGTGAACTGGGACACGACTGGAGGCCAAGACTGTAAACCAGCAGGACTTGCCCCCCTGCAGACAAAACCTTCTGTCAGTTCGTCCATCAATCAATCAATCAATCCATCCCTCCATCCATTCTGATCATCCATCCATCCATCTCACCTGCAGGAAGTCAACCCGTGCCAGAGCTCCAACAAACAGACTCATTCCAGGCTTCAGCACAAATGTCCGAGGGACAATGGCCTGGGTCGGAACCACCAACCGGACCTCCTGCTCGTGCAGCAGGTGGAGGATCTGAAAAAAGTCCAGGGTTGGGTTGAAGAGAGGAAAAGTGTCGAACCAGGTTTATAGGACTCTAGTGTCCTATAAACCTGACACCTCAGCTGGTGTCTGTGGGTTTCCCACTGAGGGACTCCAGCTTTTCCAATAACGGAGAATGAGTCAATTAGAAGGTTAGAGAACTAGATGATTATCAAAAGTCTCAAAGCCAATTAAGGAACATTATAATTAAGTAATTAGAACATTTTACATACTAAACAAAAAAGTCATTATTTTAGAAAAGTTAAAATTAAGACATCTTTAAGATTTACATAAGTTTTGACAATTGGTGTGGTAGCGATGGCATAACGGTGAGAGAGCAGAACATGTGCAGCCTGGAGAACTTGCAAATGTTGTCGGTTCAAACCTCAGACATCAGTCAGGCTCATTGAGCAGGACCCAAACCCAAAACACTCATTGCTGTCTACTGGATGGCTTAAAAGCAGAGGACGCATCCTGAGTAAGGAATTGTTATAATCTTAAAAACAAGAATTTTCTCACACATTTGTACCCAACTCTTTTTCTAAAGTATATTTTGATATTTTAAGATTTTAAACAGTTGGGATTAAAAAATAAATAAAAACCTGTACAGGGTTATTAATAATGATGATGAGTGATGATGATCAGCAGTGTGATGAAGGCCATCAGTGGGATAATAATGGTTAAATTGATATAGATGATCTTACGTCGCGCTCCTTGATGATTCCAGGGGTGTCATACAGCCAGTGGGCATCTTTCAGCTCGTTGGGGCTCAGCCCCTCATGTGACCTTTCAGCCCCTGGGGGAGGAATCAGAACATGCAGACTGTGCTGAGAACCTAATAAAAAAAAACAAAAACAAACCTAACGGGTCCAAACTGGATCCCTTAAAATGATCCCACCTTCTCTCCTTGTGTCTTCGTCATTGTTATCTCCAAACGCCAAACTGTCTGGATCAAACTGGATCTGATTGCTTCTGGATCTTTCAGACCGGAACGTTTGCCCGACCCGACCTGTACAGGCGAGTATGTGATTAGGAACTTAGCTGATGTCACCCCCCCCCGGTCCACCCCTACACCTTACCCACTAAGTATCCTCGCCGGCCGAGCTGTTGCAGCCTCCTCAGCTCGTCGGCTGGCAGCTCCTCCTCTGTCTGCTGCAGCGCCTCCTTCAGGCGCTTCTGACGCCGGAACATCCGGTACGGAGTCGGGTTTATGATGGGGAACTTTAGCAGGTTCAGAGTTGTGCCTTAACGCGCCACAGCCACAACACAAACGTTGAAGAATTAGAGACATTTCAAGGAAAACTAAACTGCACATTATTATACTGTGAGTTGGGTCCGATCCTGGTTTTAGCTGTGTGTTACTAACCGGGCCACGGAGAGATTGTAGCCTTGTTCAGGACTTCAGCAGCTCTGGACTTGCAATAATCCGACTCAAGCAGTGCGTTGAACAGCGTGGATTTCCCTGCGTTGGCGCTGCCCACCAGATACACGTCTCCTTTGTACTTCCAGGAGCGCTGCAGGTTTGAAATCAGCGCCTCTATCCCATAGCCAGTCTTGGCACTGATTAGGTGGAGGTCAGTGACCTGCGATCCAAACCCGGCATCCTGGCAGTACTGTGCCAGACGCCGCTTGATGCGCTGCAAGTAGTTGGGTGAATCCCCAGGCAGCAAGTCCAGCTTGTTCCCCAGGACCACCACGTGTTTGTTGGTTCCCACCAGGTCAGGCAGGTCTGGCACTATGGAGTCCGGCAGGTCCAAGAGGTCTGCAATGAGCAGCACCAGGGCCTTACGGTTCCAGATTTGTCGCACCACGTCCCGGTACTGCTCCCGGGTCATCTGCAAGTTCAGGGCCTTGTGGTGGTGAGTGATAAGGTGGCAACGCTGGCAAGTGGCTCCGCTCAGTTTCCCTTCCTCCAGCAGAACCTTGAACTTCTCACTGGGCAGGTACCCGGGGACGTCTGCAGCGGTGCAGTGCAGCAAGGCGCCGCATCCCGAGCAGCTGGTGTCACTGACCGCAGCATCTGCATCTGGAGTCCCAAAGATTCGGTGCTCTCCTTTAGGCCCCGCCCTCTTCTTCTTCTTGGACTTGATGATGCTCTCATCTAGTGGGAAGTTCACATCCTGGAACTCTATAAAGGAGTCCAGCCCCGCCTCCTGTAGGGCTTCACCTTTTAGCTGCTGTTTCAGGAAGTGTTTCTGAAGACTAATATGAGGGCTAGAAACCAGTCCTGGAGCCGACCCGGCAGAAGATCCGCAGGCTGTTCTAGGAATAGACTTTGGATCTGAAGCTGAGGAGAGACCTTGCTGATGGACCTTCTCCACCTCATAAGGTTCATCCTCCTGACCTGGATGAGAAGACAAACATTCAGGATGATCCAACAGAAATAGAACCAGCTCCATTGGTCCAACAAAGACCCAGCAGCAGAACATTATGATGGGACACATTTTAAAAATGTCAACAACCAGCTGTTAAGAGGCTTTTTTTTGTTTTTTAACAGTATCATTTTCGTAGTGATCCGAATATGATACTGGTCCAGACACAAATGTCTGTGGAATCTAAATTTAAAGTGATACAAAATATTTCAACATTACAAAGTGAAAGAAGTGGATCTCTGCAGCTCCTCCAGAGCTACCGCTGTCCTCTAGGCATCTCCTCCCCTTGTCAGTCTAGTCGCCCATTCTCTCCATGTTCTGGTAATGAATGGATTAGAACTCAGAGATGTCCAAAGGATATTTTTTTTTAGAACCAAACCCAGCTTTAAACCGAACCACAGCGTCCTCCCAGCCCCATCTGCTCTATCCCTTGGTCTTTGTGATGGTGGTTGTTCTCTACAAAACCCCCCAAGGTCAAAACCAGACAAAATTGACTCTATTGTGAAAAGAGTTGAATTCTATCAGTTATTCATGTGGGGAAGAAATGAGGATTGTGAACAATTTATGAAGTTCGTTGAAACTGGATTTTATGAACCAAAAAACAGATTTTCTCAGACTTGAAGCAGAATAGAAGAACTTCAAACGTTGGGTATCGACTCAAATCCCCTGAAGAACTGATCCCTGAGCGTTTCAGATGTATGACAACCTTTGGTGAGTCCAGATTGTTTTAGTGAAGAGGAACCGATGGTTGGTCCAAATGAAGCAGGGAAATCCAAACAAAATAACATCTCTTTCAAATAAAGATGCTGCTATTTTGAAACATGTTTTTATTTTGAAAGCAGCCACTTTCCCTTTCCTGTTTTAGCAGCTGTTTGTCATCTTAATGACAACAACTCAGCCGGTTCTAAATAGAGTTTATGAGCCCTGTGATGTTTTAAAGAGGATCCGAACTCACCGCGCTCTGCAGTTAGATGTAGAACTGAGAATGATCAGCTCACATCATTTCACCTGGAAACATATTGGCTGATTGAAATCACACTTATGGCAGGCAATTTGACATTTATTAACTTGACTAAATATGCAATTCAGATATCATAAATGCATTTCTTTTAACTCAAAATGAACATTTCAGATAAATAACATTCTTCCTATCTATAACTAACTCTATTATAGAGATCTGAAATTAGAGTGCAGCCTTGTCAGAATTAATTTCTAGATTGGAAGAATGTTACTTTAGATATCTAGAAGTAAAAGCCCAATACATATGAATGGGAAAAGCAATATCATTAGTACAAAAAAGAATTAGATTTAAGACATTTGAATTTTTTATTTTAGATAGGAAGAATTTTATTTTAGATATTTGAATCTGTTTATTTTGACTAGGAAGAAATATTTGATACATCTGGATTATATATTCAGTCAGGTTAATAAATGTCAAAATGGCCACTTAAAATTTGTAAAGATTTCTAAGTATTTGAAAGTTTATTCTTACTAGAACAATTATATTTTTTGGCATCCTGGAATTATAATTTAGGATATCTATATGTAGGGTTAAGACTAGTGGGAATGTAGTTGTGACCAGGAATAATCTTATTTTAAAGATCAACAAATGGAACAATAGAGAGAGAGGACAGTGCTTCTATTAGATGTCATAACGGCCTGCCATACCACACCGGTTATGACCCAAATCCTCGGTTCAGGTCTAGAAGGTTCAGGCAAACAGAGCAAGAGGTTCTGTAGCTGCTCACCGTTACAGTCCAAGAACACGAACTGCTCCTCCAGGTTCGGGTCCACGGTGCAGCTCTGGGCTCCGGACGTCCTGTCGGTGCGTACTGAGGTGCCGCGCGACGAGCGCTCGCCTGCTGCCGTGGAGCTGATGTTCCTCCACAGCTGGCGGCGGAAGAAAACCTGCAGCGTCCTCAGCATCCTGACCCACCGTGTCCGAACCCACGAGGATATCTGCGCTCTCTGTGGTCCTGCTTCGCTTCCTCGGTGGATGTGACGTCACAAATGTTTATATTCCGGTAAACGCTTAAGTTTTTCTATTATACAAAACAAAAAGGAAAATACCATAAAAACAAAGGAATATACCCTAATATTTATTTAAATTAAGTAATTGAAATTTGTTTCTAGTTGCAAATTATTTTTCTTTATCGAGCAGCAAAGAGTGGTGGAGAGCGCAGCAGGAAGACCTCTCACTCCGTAGGAGATCGGAGATCCAAAACCTAACCGGGATTCTTTTCCCCACTCGGTTGTTCTTCTTTAATATTCTACCTCAGTTTTTGAGTCTGTTTATTTTATTGTATTAGGGCTTTTCTGCCACATGTTTTCCTGACATTAATGCGGATTATTGGTCTAGCGGAGCCATTTCAGGCTGTGTTTGGGTTTTTGTTTACTTATCAGGGACAGTGGTCAGATTTCACCGTTTCTCAGAGTGAGACCTCTTGTTTTTCGGACGATCTGCACTTTTTGTTGCAGGTCGGGATTTTCCTGGTGTTCTCAGAGGATCTCCACTTTCTGGACGTCAAAATGTTGAAGCTGATCGGTTCTTTTCGGCCTGCAGCAGCAGCCCTTCTAAGAACTGCTTCTGCTGCACAGGTGAGTCCACCTGCAACCGAACACCAGACCCAGAGCTCAGACCAGGCCCAGACTGAACAGAACTGAAAGAAACGAGACAAAATCACCACTTTTCTTCTGCAATTCAGGAACACATTTACACACGTTATTATCTTTCTGCCTTAATAGATATGGTTCTGGATGTTCGGTTCGGTTGTTTCATGTCAGTAATAGTTGATTGGAGGTAAAGGTCAGAAACTACAGTGTATGATTAACCTGCAGCAGGGGGAAGGTGGGAGGGGGAGTCCTGAACGCCTCATGGCCTTCAGCTGTTCTTTAAACAGAGGAGGTGGTGCTGGGGGCGGGGGTGGGGGGCAAGCAGTTGTAAAGCATTTCAATCCCACTTGTCTGTCCACCCCCACGCAGGCTGGCTCATGGTGCAGCGTCACGTCTCAGAGCAGCAGTGGCCTTCCTAGTCCAGCAGGGGGCAGCAGATGACAAAAACTATTTAGTGCGATTAACGGACCAGATCGCGAGCTCTATGTTTCCTTTGTCGTTTTCAGAATTTCAGAAACAAAATTTTGTTGAAATGTTAAATAATTAACACAAATATTTTCTCCACAATAAGGAATAATAGATATAAATTCAATAGCAAAATAAATCTTTTTTTATTTTAAGTATTGGTGTGAAAGAAATACTCGTTCTGGGACCCACCTGATGGATGATATGACATGATGGTTATTCACTGTGTAATGAATGAGGACAATAGATAATAGTGAAACAGTGAGGCATAGATGTGACACACACACACACACACACACACACACACACACACACACACACACACACACACACACACACACACACACACACACACACACACACACACACACACACACACGACAGCCAAAAAAAAAAAAAGATTGGGCCTAAAACAAGACTAAAGCCAACTAATTGGATTTTACCCATTATCTTTTTGCTTTATTTGTTTTTTATTTCTGTGTTGATTGTTTTCTTTAAAGTGTGAGACCATTCTTTTATTTTCTGATTCTCATCCCTTTGCTGGAGTCGGCTGGAGCAGATGATGAGGACCTATAGGTCCTCATGCTATGGGTACAGTCACCTGGAGACATACTGGCTGATTGAAACCAAATGTATGGCAGGCCATTTTGACATTTATTAGCTTAGCTGAATATGTAATTCAGATGTCTCAAATGCATTTCTTCTTAGTCCAAATGAACATTTCAGATATCTAAAATAGCATTCTTCCTAACTAAGAAAAACTCTATTATGGATATCTGAAATTAGGGTTAATCCTTGACAGAATTCATTTCTAGATAGGAAGAATGTTATTTTAGATATCCAGAAGTAAAAGCCCAATGGGAAACATGATATTATTAGAACTAGAAAGAATTACATTTAAGATATCTGAAATTTATATACAGCTGCTGAGTAATATGGTGCCGCTAGACCAATGAGCCAGACTGTGCCAGCTGAGTGGGATGGAGTTTTGTTTAATACTTAAAGAGTAAGCGGTGATCATTGTAGAGCGGGTACAAGCTGAACAGCTGGTCAGTCCACCAGAATCGAGTTATACGTTTTTGTTGAAAAATGGTGGACTGGGTGGAGCCCGCAGACTAGCTGTGCATCACAGGATATACCACAAGGCCACACGTCTCCTGTTTTTCCATCAGAGTAAGACGTCTGTCCTCTTTCTCTCTCTCTCTTCAGCCTAGTGCCAGGCTCTCCACTGGACCCCAGCAAGAACAGAGAACCTTCTATGAGTTTCGTACCTACAGCATCCGGCCAGACCAGAACGCTGCTTTCCACAAACTGACCAATGAGAAGATCCATCTGCGCACTGCTCACTCTGAGCTGATTGGCTACTGGAGTGTGGAGTACGGCGGCCTCAACCAAGTCTTCCATATATGGAAATATGGTGAGGAGGCGTCCTTCCTGTCTTTGTTCATGTCTGGCTACATTTCTTTATTCCACATTAAAATACATTTCTGAACAAAGCCCTGGATCTAATTAAGAACAGGGTGGCTTGGTCTAACGTGACATTCCAAGGGTTTGGGTTTATTGTTGGTGAATAACAAAATAAAAGCCTCAGCTTCTCCTCATGGTGGCGGTCTGTATGACTGTATCTCCCCTTCTCTCCCCGCAGACAGTTACGCTCAGCGGGCAGGTGTGCGGGCAGCCCTGGCTCAGGACCCCTCCTGGATCTCAGAGTACATCTCAAAGGCCTTACCCATGTTAACATCACAGGATAACGAGGTGACATACATGGTACCATGGAGCCGTCTAAAGAACCCACCGCAGGAGGGTGGTAAGCTCCTTCACCTTACTAGGGGGGGGTGGTTAACATTATAATGTGACGCTAATGTCCGGTTCTTGTTTTTTCAACTGGACCCATTTCAGCCGACTGACCCAGTCATTCTAGTTCAGCTTTATTTCCTCGGCTGTTTATTTGGGACTACTGTTCCAAACTCTTTTTATCTTCAAATGTTTATCCAGAATTTCCCGTTCCTTTTCGTAACTTCCTTATAAAGGTCGCCTGAACCATATGCTGCCAAACACCCTCTCCCCCACCACCACCACCATGCTCCCACCTGCAAACGTCACCTTCATCCTCGCTTTTTCTTCAGCAAATGCTATATCCATGTCTTCATGGAGCTCAGCGAACTCTGCTTGGTTCATGATGTTCCCTAAATCCCTGACAGATTTCACTATTTTTTCTTTTTTTTTTTTGCTGTCTGTGGTTTTCTATCCTTTCCTTTCCTTTTCTCAATATGTTAAATACTTTTCCTCTACATCGATCCACTGATCTGGAGAGAAATTAATGTCTGTAAAATATGATTGCAGAGGGAATTGTTGATGTTCTCAATACTTCCTGATGTGGGGGTTGTATTGATTCAAAGAGCTTTTCTTGCAAGGAATCTTTAGTTCTAATGGGGTTTCAAAAAAGGTTAAAGAAAAACAAACCACCGGACTTTGTGTCCATGTTTGAAGACGTTTTGCTCCCCATCCAGGAAGCTTTTTCTATTCAAAATGTCAGGAATAGTCAGAGTTTGAGGTTTTATACAGTAGCCCATCAGAGCCTTGTTTGTGTTTAGAAAACATTCAAATTGACACGGACGAACGGGTCCAACCCTTTGGAACGGGGGGTCGTTTGGCTTCTTTTGTTCTTTTGGATGACTGAGAATCTTCACCAGCATAACAGGTCATATTCATTCCAAGTAGCCCCATTTCTCTAATGTGGTTCTAACAGGGCTCTTATGTTTCAGGTGTCTATGAGTTGGTGACGTTCCAGATGCGTCCAGGGGGTCCTGCAGTTTGGGGCAGCGCCTTCCAGGCTTCAATGACCTCACATGATGCTCCGGGGTACGGGACGTTGCTGGGAGCATTCCACAGCGAGTTTGGGCTGCTGAACAGAGGTAGGGGGGCCGCAGTTTAACATTTATGAAATAATCTTGTAATAGTTCAGGAGCTTCAAAAAGACGACTGACGTTCTGTCATTTATTTTTAAGCAAACTGTATCTAACTTGCTGTGCAGCATCCTGTAGATGGCGCTATAGGTTAATGAATTCAGGAAAGCGGGGCTAATTATCAAGTCAGACTAAAACTGGATTAAGTAGATGTAAGGATGTAGAGCTGTGAATCTCAGAATGCTGCTGTGTGTCTAACCAGTTCTTATTTCTCAGTGCACGCCCTCTGGTGGTTTGAAAGTGCTGATCATCGAGCTGAAATTCGTCACAAAGCTCACACTGATGCCAGGGTGGTTGCAGCAGGTAAGACTTGTCCCCCAGTCTGTGACATCACCCATTTTGGGAATGTTCAGTGGTTGGTCAGAGCTAATCCATTGTCCGATTCCTGTTGTGTCTCCCAGTCAGGAACAGCGTCGTCCATCTGGATTCTCAGAGAAACCAGCTCCTGTTTCCATGCTCTTTCTCTCCCATGAAGTAACCTCATGCTGTTTCCAAAACAACAGCTCCAATCATCTTGAGTGTGAGGCACCTGTTACTGAGCTCCGCATTCTTCCCTAGACGGGCCAATCAAAGCTCACCAGCATGAGCTCTACCACTGAGCTGTGATCTTCAGCTGCTGCATGGACAACCTGACCTCACTGTGACCTTAAAGATATGCTGAGTTTCTGATCAAACCCGAACTGAAAAATAAAGACGAGTGCTGGAAACGTATTCTTTAATAAAACTTTTCTTTACTGGTACCGTCTGATGTTTCTATAACACAGGATCTGTGGTTTCAGATACCCCAGCATGTATAAAAGTCAACAATATGTCTGTGGAGAGATATCTCTTAACATATGAGATATCAAAAACCCTGAAGCTGTAGAAGATGTCTGGTCATTTTTATAAAACATTAAGTAGGATCAATATTAAGTGTACATAGTATGTTGAAAAAAAATGAACATCTTGATTTATATAGCCATCTGCATGCTCACCATAATGCCATCGCTGCACCTCTGAGGTATGGGACACTGTGGATACTTTCATAGATTTACTTTGTTTCTAAAAGGCCGTTAACTACTATTGATCATGCTTCACATCTGTGGGCAAACGAGCAGTTTGCCCTCCATAAACTCAGGAGCTGTTTACAACTGTAGATGTGAGAAAACAACAAACACTATACGAAGCACTCAGTGGTGTTTGGAAGTCTAACATGATCAGAAAATGTTCACAGCTTATTAAATTTAGATGTTTCCTAATCTTTTTTGAAATATTGATAATTATTTACATACATTTTTTTGTAAAGTTACCAATTCAAATATTCACAGTAATATTTGACTTGGTACTTTCCTTTTTTTTTAGCCTGTAATAAGACTAACAAATTGGGGATACAATTTAAAGTCATATTTTCATTATATAATATATAATTTATAAACACATTTCCAAACTAAACATGAAATTAGCAAGTTAAAGATTTAATTTGAACAAAATATTTAACTAACTCATGTTTTTTTTTTTGCATATTAATGAACATTTATATGTAAATATGCTAGAATTACCCTGAAGGATACTTTTCCTCTTTAGTCCCTGGCCAGTTAAAAGAAAACACACTAGACAGCACTCATCAACCAATCAATAAATACAAAATAATATTAAAAAGGGATAATTAATCACTTAGAAAGCTAAATATTTAGAACAAAGCCAAATATTTTGTTAGCAAACTGAATATGTAGTTATACAGTAATTTCTTTGAATAGAATTTTTATTTCCAATCTAAATGTTTAGGTCCAATAAGGTATGGAGATAACGTCATGATAATCCTTCAGGAAACGCTCAAGGAATTGTTGAAAGTTAGAAAGTATACTTGTTTATCTGCTTTATTCTCCCTCTTTGTCACATAAACTCAAAATTTGCATGTACAGTGGGGCAAAAAGGTATTTAGTCAGCCACTGATTTTGAAAAAAAGATGAGAGGGAATGAAGTATTTGGTCACAAGAAAGAATTCTGGAACTCACAGCCCACTAACTTCATTTTTAGAAACCCAACCTTTCCTCTGTTCATTACCTGTATTAATTTGTATTATCTTACCTGTTTGAACTCGTTATCTGTATAAAAGACACCTGTGTATAGCAAACAGTCAGACTACAAACCCAACCATGGCCAATAAGCAAGTAGGTTTGTGGAAAGAAAAAACGAAAAACCATCTGGACTTTTCCTAATCATAAATCTTGGAGGACCAGCCAGGTTCACACACTCATCAGGGGCCCAATACTGCCTCAGGTCAGGTGACAGAGCTTTGTACAAAGCTGCTCAAGCTGACCAGAAAAGAGGAATAGAGAGAGCCAAGTTTGACCACAGTGTGCATATTAATGTAAATATAAATCCCTTTATTGTCCCACAATAAGGAAATTAACTTTCTGAATAATAAAAAAAAACCCTTGTGTGCTGCCTGGGGAGCAGTGTGGGGTTAAGGGTCTTGCTCAGGGACCCAGAGTGCAGACAGTGGCGATCAAACCGGACACGGCCTTCTCAGAGCACAAGTTCACTGCTCTGACCACGAGGCCAACTCTCCCCATATAGATCCCACCTATCAAGCAACACACAGGAGGTCTGGCAGGACATACAAGATATCACAAACTTTAGACGGCGTGATGCATCACCAGGGGTCCTGAATGCACAAATGGCAGAGGAACTAAAGTGCTTCTTTGCTCACTGTGAACTGTTCTGTTCAGTATCAACAGCACTCTTCTGCATCAGTCCTGGCCCCGCCCACACCTGGCTTCTGCACCACACCACTAATTATACAGGAGCATGATGTCAGAAGGATGCTACTGGCAGTGAATCCCAAGAAAGCTTCCAGTCCAGATGGGGTACCTGCCAATGTGCTAAAAGCATTTGCTTACCTGCACCCACCCATTTTTATCTGGGAATTAAAATTTTCATTGCTGCTGGTAGTCATTCATCCTACCCTGTTTAGATTCAACAAGAATAAACCCTCTGTGCTAGCCACTACTATGAGTTAATACAGAGGAGCTTAAATGAGCACTCCTGGGATCTAATGTCTTTTTTTGTTATTTTGTGCCATTTCGTCCCACAATGTGCTTTATTTTGTGTTAAGATGGGCTGATATTTATTTAATCATATTTTTGACCCCACCCCTTACCACAAAACACAACCATATGTACATTAAATGATTATATCTGTTATATCAATTAAATATTAAGTGCAACTGAATGTCCATGTCCCCTTTTAATCTTTTTGAAATCACTTTATAACTATAATAAAAAAAATAATGATGTAATTATGCAGAAGTACTGTACAAAGCCAAAGTTAAATGTTTATTTTCAGCATCGTCAGTCGTATGACATTTTCTTTCATAGATTCATAACCTTGTCGCCTTTTTATCTTTCACACAACCACTGGAAACAGAACTATAGTTTAACTCAACTGCAGGTGACCGGAGATCATGAATTTACCATTCTATGGTATCTACCATGTATATCTAAGGATATGTATGTGGAGTGCATGATTTTATGTTTAATTTCATTTTCTGCTCTTATGGCAGAGGTGATAGATATGGAGTCAACAAGTCATCTCTAGCAGATTGGACTCACCTGGTTCAGCACACATACATAGCATGGAGATGACTCCCCGTCTCTCACCTCTGTCTTATGCTGTGTTTAAAGTCTACAGAGCGGACAACTGCATGTGGACTGAAATGGCTGATAGGGAATGTAAGGAGAGTCTGGCCATAAAAGTAGCATCAAACACGACTCCATTTGTAATTGTGGGCCCCATTTTGGATTTTTTACTTATTATTGCAAACTACTAGGTGCCAAAATTCAGCACTGTGCTAAATGGAGCCTTTCCATAACTATTACACAGATGGCCTATGTTAGGCTGACATTTTTCACTACTGTTATGTTTCCATATACTATTACTATATACTATTTGACCCCCATAGAAAGCGTGATATAAAATTTGCATAAGATCCATACTAAACATGTACATACATGTAATCAGCTGAACTAGGTTAATAGTGTATATATGTTAAATGACAGCAATCTACTAAGAAACGGGCAGTTTGTTCTGTCTATATCAGAAACAGTGCTGTCTGCAGGTGTGTTAAGCTAAACTATTGCTCAATGCTCATCACTTTATTGTTTAACAAACCGCTATGACAAAAATATGCCTCCCTGTTTATAGGAACACCATCATTAATGTCTAAAAACCAGGAAGCCATCACAAAGGGGGTCAGCTTGAGACCTGTTCCCCATAAATCTACATCGAGGCCCATTGGGGGACAACTGAGAATCATGTTTGCATAATATTACTATTTATAAAGAAATTGGTAGCAGATTTATTCAGCTTAAAATAGTCCACAGATATATTAAAAAGTATTTTTTATCTTTTCTGCAAATTTGTCCATTTTAGATTCAACCGCATAACATTCCGGGCACACACTTTTCATCCTTTTCAAGAAGGTGGATAATAGTCACTCTCCCAACAGCGAAACGAATTATATTAAGAAGTTGGGGGGAAAAAAAACAACTCCACCTTATAAGGAATGGTTACCAACAATCGCCAAACTAGCATCCTATGAGAAAGTCATTTATAGTCTTCTCGATCAATATGACTGCACATGTTCTGCCTTTACCAACTGGCTGACTGTACCTTAATGTACGTTAATAAGTGGATTGATGGTCGGTGTGGTGTTCTATGGATGCTGGTTTTGATGTCAGCTTAAAAAACAAGTAAATAAATAAAATGAGCATTATTAAAAAAAAAAAAAAAAACTGGCAGAAAGGGGATTGCTCTAACCCACGGATTTAAAGACATTTAAAAAGTTCTTATATCAAATTCTCAACCACAGTGGAATCCTGATATTTCTCAGCATGGATCTGAACTAGTGCTCGTCATTTACCTGCAACTGTAATACCATCACAAAGTCATTAGATTTTGATCAAATTACATCTAACAGGAGTAAGACTGACTTTCACACTCCCACCCTTTAGGTGGTGGTGATTGCACACAGATCCCTTGCATGATAGTAAAGTTAAAGTTCTACAACAATGGACTCTTTAAAGCTCATGAAAGCAGCTCAACTCTGAAATGAAACATCTACATGCTTGTGGTTAGTTGTCAGGAATATCAAAACTCCAAAATCAACTTGGTAATTCATGAAAGCTCTATTTAGAACCAGAGGTTCCTGTCTTGATAATATTTGGTTTCACTGTATGTTTTAAGCAGCAGGAGATGGAGGCAGGAGGTTTGATGGTTTATTCTGCTCGTTGGGCTGTAACAGCTCTTCTTCCATCAGCAGCACAACATGTTGATCAGAACATGAACAGATCAGAAGCAGTGCAAACACAAACTAAAGTCTAGAACACAAAGTGCTGCAGTCAGATGACCAATCAGATCACAGATCAATACTGTAGTGTGCTTCCAGAACGGATGAGGTATTTTGCTGCTTCACACCCAAAACTGTCTGATATGCTTCTCTATCATCGTTTTATAAAAACTCTATAAAAATCAAACTTCTGATTGGTTGCTAATATAGGAAACAGCATGGACCCTGCCAGGATAAAACAGATTGAATGATTCTGTTCCAGCTAAAAATATAAATAAAGTCTGACACTAAGAACGGAATCAAAGTCAGATAAAAACAGGACGTTTTGCAGTCGAGCCCTGGGCCATTTGAAATGATTAGGATTCTTCATCATGGACGCTCAAGTTTGTTCAAGTGTTTCAGCCCGAGCTG